AGTTTTCTTCGCCCTCAACATACACTGCCTTATTCCCTTTAACCTTTTTGAATACCCATGTTTTGTGCTAGTCTAGTCCTATTATCATCCTTCTTCTTTGCTTTGCCCGTCCACTTGGGCCTAGAAGAAGATGGTATAGACTAGGTTAGATTGATAGGAACGCCCATACTCTTGATTATCCCTTCATCTGTTACCAATTCTATAAGAATATCAGCGAGTGTGAACTCAAACTGATTCCTTATTTAGTTCACTCTAACAGAGTCGAATGAGTTTGGTAACAAGGCAATAATCATGTCAACTTGAAACTTACCACCCAAGTCAGCCTTATTGATCTCCAGCTAATTTTTAAATAACAAACAATCATTTTCCAAAATTTGATTTCAAACTGGAGTTCATGAGGCTATCTTGATGGTATTTAAATTTGACACAGTACTTAGGCATATGCTCTATCTAATCTCACCAAAATATCTCATTGACATTTAATATGATGCTTGAAGAAAATAAAATAATACAAATGTTAGCTTTGGAGTATATTCGAGCTAAACTCTAGAATATTGCACCAAGTCATATCATTTGCCTTATCTAATTTATTAAAAGCATTAATGTCAAATTTGGTATCTCAAAGTAAAAGAGATAGGTATAGGAGTAATAAACACATTTTGTACCCTTACGTTGTGAATAAAATATCTAAGTTCGTTTTCCAGTCATTATAAATAAGGTCCAATATCATAAAATATGTAAGCAAGCAGATAAACTGGAGTAGACATAATTAATCTGAATATAAATGCATTCATATAACATGCAAGGTGAATTATTAATTCTGTCATGCATATTTAAAATTAAAATGAGTTTGTTAACCACATAATATAATAAATCTCAATCGAACAAGAGATCATTATCATTATTGATGAACAATCCCTTTTAATTAATGCGGGTCCCTCAACTCTGTAGCATAATAAATCAACCAATCAATATGTCAATAACTTATCCCGTTGGAGGAGTTCATTATTACTATTGTTGAGATTCATTTACTATTAGGTGAGCACTTCCATTAAAATAATAATATGTGGGTCCCTTAACCACTGCATGAAAAATCGAATAACCAATACGCCAATAACTTATTCGGTTGGCGAAGTTCATTATTGCTATTGGCGGGCAAATCCCATCATTTCCATATCTCTTAAGACAATGCCTTGTCTATCATATGAAATGATTCCCGATTTAATTTAGCCTTTCTAAAATCACCTAGTATAGACCACTTCGTTGGGAAGCTAACACTATTGATTTTAGATTGAGTGTATAACGTTATTAAAACTCTAACGAAAAATTAAACATTAAATATGTTGTCATTATAATCTAGACTCTTTAAATCATGCGTGGGGCCTTATTTTTAAAGATCTAATTACAATGAACATTTAATATTTGTATTTTCATGAGACAACCATTCTTGTAATATTAAGACTCTTCAAATCATGCGTGGGGCCTTATTTTTGAAGATCTAATTACAATGGTGTTAATAACAAAGGCCATGGGACAATGTATAAAAATCCCCGCTCCCACTCAATTTTTAATCATTCATAATTAGGATTTTCATTTTATTCATTTACATGATATAATGCATGCAAAACGTCTTGATTTTAATCCAATTAAATTTAGAAAATATTTGGACTTTAAACGATTCACTAATATTTAATTTGAAGCACACTTTAAAAATAATTTACAAAAACAATTTTTCGTTTCCCAATAAGTGCCCTCAAATTAATTAATAGTCTAATCCAATTAATTTTCATAATTTAATTAATATAAATCAAGTCATTTAAATAAATATCATGGATCCAATGCATGAACAATAATAATTAGCAATTAATTATTTCATGCATCACATACAACAATAAATGACAGATAAAGCAATTTAAATGGCCAATGGAATCAGCTTTTAACATTTAAATACTATTCTTGCTGTGCAGGCGTCCATCAACAGCTTGTAACCACCCGTAGGGAGTCGTAGCACGACCCTATGTGCCATCGGATGGTCCTGGATACCCTTACGCACCATCAAACGCGCCAGAATGCGCCTGCGAAGGTTCCCAGCGCGTGCCACGCGCTCCCACGCGCTTGCACGCGCTGGAGGGAGTAGGTGGCTCGTGTCACGCGCCTCAACGCGCGTGTGGGAGTGAGCAGCGCGTTTCACGCGCTGTGACGCGCTTGCTGACGCAGCTTCCTCGGCGCGTGAAGCTCACTTGCTTCTGGATTGAGTGCACATGGGGCGCACCCTTGGCTGCGAAGTACTGGATCAATCAACCTCCTGAGATTTGATCCAACGGATGCTGGGGCGCGCGCATGCAGACCGCGCCACACCGGATCAACTGTCCACTTTCTGGCACCGCCCTTCCGCCGGCAACTCTCCGGTCGCCGGAAAAGCGCCGAAAATTACAGAAAATAATTTTAAAAATTCCAGAAAACTAAATTAAGTCCGAAAAATTCCAGAAAAATTCCGAAAAAATTCCAGAAAATCCCTGAAGCCTAATTTAACCCTTTTGGACCTTCTTGAAACTTCATAATATCATTTGATGAAGATTACATGGCTTTAAATAAATTTACAATTTGAAATACAATGGAAAAAATTAAATTACATCATTGAACTTTCAAACGGCTAATTCAAAACCTTAATTACATTCATCCAAAGATAAAATTACATTTAATAAACCTATAAGCTTCATCCATGGCCCAAACACATATCATCATCCATTAACAATTATACATACATCATCATGTATCAATATATATCAATATATTAATTCATACATCGACATACATTAATAAATAAATATATGCATATAATTTTGGATCCATGAATGATGATTTTCATAAAATCATGATCTCTAGTAATGAATCAAACCATGCTCTGATACCACTGTTGGGAAACGTGCAAGTTTTAAAAACTTTTCGAGGGATTTTGATTCATAAATCTTGATTCATCACATAGAGACAAGTTTTATGCAAAAATAAAAATATGATGTATCATTCAATTAACAGATTGAATACTTACATCAAAGGTCTGAGTAAACCTTTAAAACTTTCCTCTAAAGTGAATGTTCTCACTTATTGTAGATCCCTTAGCAAGATGCCTTCTTCTTGGATCTCCATCTTCTTGGTAATTGTTTTGCCTTTAGGAATCACTCATAAGCCTCCATGAATGACCTTGGAAAACTAGGCTTGTGGGAGCCTCCATTAGATGAGAACATAAACCCTAATTTTCTAGAGAGAGAAAATTTATTCCTTTTTCCTTCTCATAAAAATCACCCCCCAAAATATACATAGACCATGTATATTTATAGGCAACATAAAAATAAAGAAAAGGAAACAACAAATCCTTCTCCATCTCTAATTCATATGTCTCAAATCTAATATGATTCCAATATCAAGTTGGGCTATGAGTGAGAATCCATTGGGCCTATTATTTTATTGGCTACAATGAATTAATAATTGGCCCGGTCCATGGACCCAATTCAATTAATTCATAAATTAATTTCTACTCCACTAAAAGAAATTAATTGAACTCCAATTAAATAATAAATAACCTCTAAGTCAATATTGCACTTTGACCCCTCTATGCATAATTAGTTATCGGATAAATATAGCCATCAATCCGACTACTTAATTAATATATTTATTTTGGTAGCTTTGATTATTTCTGGCTCGATCACAATAAAACATTTGTTTGACAAAAAATAATAATTTAAATAAATAAATATATAATAAATCATTTTGTCTAAAAACACACGAAGGCCTTCGAATTTACTTTGTGATCAACCATAATCAATACAAAATAAATACAAGTAGCAATGATGCAAATATTGAAAATATAACCCTCTAACTATTAATTACATAACTACCCAAAGTGTCGGTCTAAGGATCCCGAAGAATCCGCCGAACAAATCAAAGTAATTATTAATTAATAAAAGAGTCTATACTTTTCTCATGCTTAAGAGTCAAATGCCATGACGGTGATAGGGAGCAATTGCATACGACGGCTCTCGCAATATATCTCAACCTAACGCGGATCTAGTTCAAGTCTTAATTAATTATGAGTCCATCCATAATTACCGACTATGAACAATTTATAATTACTATTTATATATCATGCATTGATTGCCATCACAAACATATATATAAATATTTCTTGTAATTACATGGACACTATCAATTTCATAGTGAATCGAAACATAATACATTGAATTCACCAATTATATAAATCATAAATATTTCAGATATGTCAGGAACATATGTCACTATAATCCAGATAGGAATTTGCTATGCCAGGGCATATAAATCCCAACAAGAAGAACAGTAGAAGAAGGTTCAGTGTCTGACACAATGAAGACGAAGAGCAAAGGAGAGAGATTAGGATTTTGTAATTTTACCCCAAAGGTAAAATTAAAGGTAAATTAAAAAAATATTAAATGTAATTATAAATCATGTATTCTGATTTCTTATAATATATATGTATGGCTTATTAGTATAAGTGCACCAAGTATTCGTACTAAATAAAAATAATATATCAGTAATTTTATTTATTTATTTATTATTTTTTTGTATAAATAGTGATTGGGTACTAATTGGACAATGATGTAACAAATGAACTGAGGTGGCTTCACCTCAGCCCTGGGATCTGCACTGATCTGCTCCGGTGAGAGGTGCACGAGCAGATTCTGATCCTTTCTTCTGTATATGCCATTTTTGGATTATTCAAACCGCTCTCTGTACCGCTAATACAAAAAAGAACTGACTTTACTGCCGAGTGCCTACGAAAGGATGGAGGGTGCTTTCTCCAAATGAAGCCACAAAAGCGACGTCGTGACTGCTTTTGTTTCTTCTTCTCGTTCCCATTCACGCTCTCTCTCTCTCTCTCTCTCTCTCTCTCTCTCTCTCTCTCTCTATCTGTTTGAAGTTAACATCTTCAGTTGGTTAGTATCAGCTTTATTGCAATTTATCTTCAATTTCTCGTCTCCCTTTTGTCTAAGTGCATGTTTACAATGGTCTCCACCTGTTTGCTGAATTGCCCCAGAGATATGTCTCTTGTGTAAAAATGCAAATAAAGTAGATACTTTTGACGCAGCGAAACGGTAGAGAGTCTGGTGTAAAGAAATTGAAGTATCATTTAATCAATCTCTTCCCAACCTGCAGGGTATAACGATCTATATTATACACACAGTCACACACACACATATAATTCCACCAGCGTGTCGCAGTTCTAACTGCCCAGTTGGGATCGAGAAACGTGTCAACTTTAGACTCAAAATATACATGCATATATTCATGCTCATCCTGTGACGTATAGGCATACCTTATAACCTCACCCAAAAATTCATTTTTGTGCCCGTCTTTCACTAGTTCACATCCGCTGAAGCAATCTCATCTTATGGAGAAACTCTCTCGGCTTCAAGTCAAATCCAAATTGTATTATACGTTACCTGTACTCTCATTTTTGGAATATACTTCTATCACTTATGAGTTGTTTGAACAATAATCTTCGGAATTAATTGCTCAATGTAGGATTTTTTTTTCTTCATGTAAATCACTTGAATTGACCCAAATTATGTCATTGTTGTATGATTGTCATTCAGTGAGCAACAAAGCTATTGGTAGCAGAAATGTTTTCCAGACGAGTAGGAAACGGCATACACAAATATGTTGCAAACTTAAACAGATTGAAGCATCCCTGTGCCTTGTTCTCATCTGGGTCGAGTTACACAGATTTGCCAAGGAAGCTCAAGTTGTCTGAGCGGAAGCCGTGGGTGACGAGTGTTAACGAACTCAAGCGTAAAGCCAGATTGGAAAATGAAGAGAGGCTGGTGGTGAGAGAGGTTACTCTAAGTCCTCCGGAAAATGGTTTGTTGGTCAAAGAATTAGTGCCAATTGCTCATGAGGTTTTTGCTGCCAGAGCCCAGTTATTGGCTTGCGTTTCGAGGGTTGCCATGAGCATTCCTGTTTATTCATGCAGGTAAAGACAATTGATTATGTTCTTAATAGGTTATGTCTTCTCTTAAACTGCTATTACTGTTGGTCGAATATTGTATCAAACACAAACAAAATAATAATAAAAATAAATGGTATGAGCAAATAAATAATCTAGCAATATATTTTTAGTGCATTCTCCCTCCTGCATTTTGTTTAGCAGGACAAGTAATGCTATCACTTTTTCATAGAAACATTAGGAAGTCATCTTTCTCTATTTACTAGCCTTAGGACCTCGGCTAAAGCCTGAGAGGTATCATATTATCGTTAAATGTAAAGTTTTTATCCTTCTCTTTAACTTTTTTCAAGAAATTGATACCCATCTTTGGTCTTGTCCTAAGTCACACAATCCTTCTCAATGGGTGTCACTCTCACGCATGCTCTGGCTCAAATTCTCACTATTTATGACTTAATTCTGCCGCTCTCACGCTCTCGCTCTCGAATTCGCTCTCGCTCCCGCTTTATGTGGCTTAGGTCTTGTCCACACATATATGCCACATACGGCAAATTTTTGCAAAATATGTTAAGAGAAAAAAAAGCAACCATTACAAGTGAAAGATAACCAGTACCAGAGCTAACACTATTTATACTGAAGCTACACTTTAGGAGTGGTGAATTGGAAAGTGAACAACTAAATTGAGTAATTCAGGAAAAAAGGTCCCGTTTATCGTCATTGATGGAGTAAATCTTTAAGTAATTTTACCTCTTATAATAGTGGATTCATTTTGCAGCTTGTGTGGAGAAGTTCACGTAGGTCATCCTCCACATAAGATCAGAACATGCAATGTCATAGGTAGCCAAGCAAGCAAAGAGCACATGTGGAGTAAAGGTGGAGCAGAACATGTCTTGCCTCGTGTGGAGTCTTTTCATCTGTATGATAGGTTGGGGAGAGCTGTTACACATAATGAGCGGCTCCTAGTCGATCGGATTCCAGCAATTGTGGAATTATGTGTTCAAGCAGGTGTGGACATCCTTGAGTACCCAACAAGAAGAAGGGAGTTCCCTGTTTACTTTGTTGCTGGGAGGATGATAGATTTTGAACGGAGGTTTCCTAAGGATGATTCATCAGTAAAAGAGATCAAAACAGATGGGTTTTGGGAGAATAGAAAGAAGTCAAGTCAAGATGAGGAATCTTTAAATTTGCCATATGATGATATACAAGGTTTGTTTTGTTGACATTTATAATTTCTGGAGGAAATATTCCGAACCACGATTTAATTTATTGATGTTTGATCCATATGGAATGGCTTACTTTGTCTTGTTATAAAGTATATGGTGGTGGCTCAAGTCTGTTATTATTCACTATTAGAAAGAAATATCTGTAGTAGAGAATATAAAAAACCAGTTTTCCCATAGACTATATAAAATTTAGGTTTGTTCTAGCACAGAGTTATCATTTAATTAAGTTTTTGTTGCATGCATCCTAATGCGCTAGTATATATTTGTGTAGGTTTTGCTGTGCGAGGCATGGTAGCATGGGAGAAAATGCGATCTGGGGCTACTAGACTCATGAAAAAATATGCTGTCCAAACATGTGGATATTGTTCTGAAGTCCAAGTGGGGCCTAAGGGTAATAGAGTGAGGCAGTGCCAAGCATACAAACACCAGATGAGGGATGGACAACATGCTTGGCAGGAGGCAACGATTGATGATCTGGTTCCTCCAGTGTATGTGTGGCATGTACGAGATCGCCAGGATGGTGGGCTGATGGTGGATAGTTTGAAGAGGTATTATGGAAAGTTGCCTGCAGTGGTGGAGTTGCTTGCACAAGCTGGAGCCCATGTGGGAGAAAATTACAGTAGTCTGATGAGGGAAGATGTTGCAGTGCCTGGATTGGATGAAGAAAAGTGGGTTGTATGAAACTTCAAATCGTTAAGTTTCATGCATTTGTCAAATTCTGGGATATGTTGAGCATTATGTAGCTTTGGTTTCTAAGTAAGGGCAATTGGAGTTGATATGTTGGAATGCCTTGGCATGTATTTGTGACGATGACTATGGCGAGTGAGTGCAGGCAACAACTAGGAGCATATGACCAAGTTCTTTTTGCATTGTGGAAAAGAGAAGTGGACCCCAACGTGTTTTGTACATAATAATAATTCCTTCAGTTGTATTTTTTTTTTTTTTTTTTTTTGAAATATTAAATTTTACCAAACATAAGTTTTGGTTTAAAAAGGGGTGCAACACCAGAACTTTTCAAGGGTCACCCATTCTAATACTATTCTCATTCAAACTCATTTAATTGCGGAGTTCTGATGAGATCCGGTGCGTTAGTGCTGGTATGATCGCACCCCAGTTGTATTTATTTATTGATTACTTCTGGATGGTGAAGTTTTTAGTGTATATTTGTTCTTCTAACAACAGAATACGGTAAGACTTAAATTCTAAAATGAGGTGGTAGTTGTTTGGAACTACAAAATTTAAAAGAAATTGGATTTAATGGAATTTCAAGATTGAAAATGTAATATTTTAAAATTTAAGAAAAATGGTTAGATTTCATGAATTTGATTTTTTTTTTTTCCTGATAACAAAGGGTGTTCCCACCCCACTCTGATGGCTGCACTAATTCCTTCCGAGACGATGCCACATAAATTGAATACATCACAAGAACAACTTTGTGTCATGACCGAAGTTTTCTCAATTCGGTTACGCTATATGGATTGAGTTTGAAATTTTACTAAAATAAAAATTGCAGTTTTCCCAATTTGCCTACTATCTTTAGTATCTTAAAACTTCAATTTATTCAATATAGAAAATAGGACATTTAGTTTATTTAATTGCTTTTATGCTCAGATTTTATGGAGATGGTTGGATGGCTTTCTGCATTGGAATAGGTTCCAAGTTGAGAGTTTTGAACAATTGCTATCATATTTTATAGCCCAATCTTGAAATAACACACTCAGCAGCACCAAAGAATATTACAAGGGTAGAAGCATTATCTGGGATATTTTTAGAAGCAATTTGCAAAGATATGAGGTGTTTGAACTTCTCTGGTAATTGGTGGTGCTGGTTAGCTGCTCACTTTGTTTGGTGGAGATATTTCATTTTGCTGCTTTGTTTGATTTGTTGTTCATTGCAGTTTGGTGGACATTATTTTCCCATTTTGTTCTTTGCAAATGTGGTTTTTGGTCTCCTAAAATGAGGCTTAGAAAAAAGAAAAAATAAATAAATAAATGTTTTGTTTCGTTTGTTAAAGGAACAAAGAATGTGTTATTAAAGGAATCATCCTTGGGAAATATGATAGCAATTGTTCAAAACAAGGAATCACATTCCCTCTCTCTAATATTATAAGAAAGCAAGTTGTCCATGATGAATATGTCACAAATTTATTTTACATTACAAATTGCTATATTCTCGATCCAAAGGAGAGAAATAGGTCTGGATATAAAGCTGATTCAAAAGAATTTAACTCTTACAGAATTGATGAAAAAAGGAATATTGATTATCGAACCCCTCAGTATTTCGTTGGTTCATAAGAGTAAGCACAAAACTAATCAAAGATACCAAGAAAAAGAATATCTAACATTCCTTTTGAAACCAACATGCAGCTGTGCACAGCAGAACCTACTGAGAAAAGTGAGACTCAGAAATAGCAGACATCTTTTCAACTTCAATAGTTCCATCCAGACTGATGCTCCTTCCCTTCAAAAAATTGGAGTACCAGTGTGCAGAAAGCTTAGGGTATCTTTTCAGATCCTCGTCTTCCAGATCTACGTAGTACAGGCCAAAGCTCGATTCATAGCCATCCAATAACTCAAATAAATCCAAGAAGGACCATGTGAAATACCCCCTTGTGTTTGATCCATTCCTACCAGCATTTCAAAATGAAAGAAGAAAATAAGATCAAAAAAAAAAAAAAGGAAGAAGAAGAATATAAGGAAACTTTCATAGTGATGAGTGTGATTTTATGGCAGCAGCCATCACTTGCATGAGATGCATTAAGAAAGGTGCAACAATCCAAATCAAAAACTCATTGTATCTCTCTCCAACCACTAGATACAAAAGTGCCATTGAGAACTCACTAATCTTCAATAGTATGTGAAGTTTTGTTTTATGAGCAGTACTTAATCACACAAATCATTGTCTTTCTCATGCTTCCACTGATAGTAAGTCGTATTGAAGAGCAAAGCTAAAGCAAATTTCAGCAAGGGTGCTTTCTGGGCCTTCCATAGAAAGTGGATAACTTGTCATTTGCATTTCAAATGACCGTGAACATATTAGTCCGTCATCAAGAATTTCATGACTAGTTAGATATGAAGCTTTACCACAAATGGTATAGTATCAACTCGATGATCTCACGAAATAATGCTGCTCCAATTTAACCACCGCTAGGCTGCCATGTGCTAAAATGACCCCAACCACAATAATAAAAAGTCATTACCGAGCATGGTCCCCATTAATCAAGGGTGTTGGAAGGGACAGACTGGCTACAGACCTAACCTTTGGCATTATAATGTGCATGATGTCCATGAAATGCTGATAGACCCCTATACATATTTGAACATAGCATATACTTGCTAGATTATTTCACTGAAAAAGTCGAGCTCTCAAAATCTCAAACCAAGAATTGTAGGATTTACCCTTGCATCGTTTGAAGAAAGACATTAAGTTGGATGTTGGCTTGAGTCTATGGAGAACCAACTTGGTATAAAACTATAAATAGACATACCTCAAAGCATCAAGCAAACTCCCAATGAAACCATGTAGATAATTCACCCTTGGTGTGTCATTCAGTGTTGTATTGCGTCGCGTCATTTGACCTGTCAAAACAAGTCATAAAAGTTTCAATAATAAGATGACTATGCACAATGAAAACAAGAAACAATTAGAAGGTGTTCAGCCTGATGCATCAGCTGACACAAGTGTTAAACACCAAAAAACGAATGCAAAATATATTGGTTAAGTGACTTAAGTCAATAATCTTAGCATCTTGGTTTGCTCTGAACCCTCACCATCATATTATCATAGTTAGGTGCAATGGAAGTAAGACCATGTCAGATAATAACACCGCGATAGTAGTCAGTCAGTTTATCTATTATGCGGCTGAATAAGTCTAACCATCCCATCCTTTGAGGCCAGAAATTCCTTTAGTTGAAATGTTAACATGGAGACGTACTTTCAGACACTTTCATGCACTACCACATGCTTTCTTACAAGATCAGGCCCACAATACGATGGGTCCCATTTTTTCAACAAATTGACTAAATGATCTAGTTCCTTTTTTTTTTTCTTCAATTTTTTTATAAGAAGCAAATGCACATAACAATGTAATGTAATTAACCAAAAAACTTAAGGTCAGATGGTTGCAAAAGAACCATATTGATCTTTTATAAGTCCTCAAATAAGCATGACACTAGAAAATCCATGCCTCTCTTTTGAAAACAATATAGCACTTACTGTGAATTAGACAACAACCCCAATACACACACACACATATATAAAGAGAGAGAGAAGAAGAACGGACCATTTTCATGGATGTATATTGGAGGGTTGCCATAAACTTGCTTGAAGTACTCCAGTATTCCTACCAAACCCCAGGGTCTAATAGGGAACTGGGGTCAAATAAATTGATCAGGAACACAATAAACAATCCGAGAAGCAAAAAGCAATTTCATAAATTGTGTTTTAGCCCTCACCACATCATGCAGTGTCTCGCTTTGGTCTGCAGCAGAAAAATCAGTGAGCTATATCAGTCCCATTAAATTTTGTTAGTTAGAAAATAGATTGATTTGACTCAGCAAAATGCCAGTTGAGGAAAAACATAAATTCTACTATCCAAGTTGTTTAACATAAACATTATTTTCAATGGACCTTTGAGATAAAACATTGGAGTGAAAGTAAACTATAAGATGGGGTGTCCAGAGTTCATTCAGCAAGCCTAACAAAGCTGAGTAAAAGCTGAAGCTAAGTTGAGATTCCAAGTGGTCTTATGTGTAGGCAGTATAATGAGTACATACACGTGATTTTTGCTGCCATGTCCGCGTTGAAATCCCTGTCATCCCTTTTCAGGCTGCTGGGGTTGTCCTTGATATATAGCGTGTTGTAATGGTTCAATCCTATAAAGTCAAATGAGCCCTTGACTTGTTTGGATTCAAGCTTGGTGAAGGCTGGTATTCTTCTTCCTGCATTCTTCTTCATTATGTAGGGATAGTCTCCAAATACCATAGGATTGACAATCCTGCAACAAAAATCAGACATAAACAATAACCAAAGGATGGTTTCACAAATAAACATATCCTCAAACAATCAGTTCTCCCGGTGCCATTATGCATTGATATATGATGACTCAACATCTAGAATAATTCTATCTACATTTAGGTTAAAGACTTACCAACCAACATAAAAGTCGTTGGCTCTTTGAGTTGCAATCACATCTTCTGTTGCATTTGTATAAGGAATAAACCAATATGCAAAGAGATTTATTCCTATGAATCCACGTTGCCTGGCCTGCATCGTGACATGAGCTCAAAATATCGTAGACATTTGCCAAAACTAAAAGAAATTCTGAATGTCAATATCAATGAATTCACGCACGCACGCACACACACATATATATATGATACCTGGTGATTTTTCTTGTACAATCTTGCAGCTGATGAGTGTGCCAGCAAGATATTATGAGCGGCAATGTATGGCTCAGATGAGGAGTTACCACTAGTACAGTTCATCCCAAATGGGGGAGAGCAATGCCCGGGGGGTGTTAGTCCCGCATCATACCCACCTAAGGCAAATATATTGGCCTCATTGAAAGTGGTCCAATACAAAACTCTATCACCGAATTCTCTAAAGCACACATCAGCATATGCTGTGAAGTCTTTCCTGCATTCGGCTTTGCATATATCACATATTTTGTGCTTCTTGCAAGGTATGTAGTACCATAAACATAAGCTTGATCTGAATGAAGTAAATTAACTAATGAAAGTTGAGAACCATACACAATTTTTCGACTAAGCAATCCTCCATATTCATCTTCAAGAGCCTGTGGCAGATCATTATGTAATAATGTAACGTGTGGCTGAATTCCTGCTTGATCAAAAAAAAAAAACACATTAGCTAGGGCCGTAATGCTATCCAAGCAGTGCAAGCAACATTTATGGTTGATGAAAATTTGGCTCTGACCGTAGAAGATAAGTTCATTGATGAGATTGTTGTAATATTCTAAACCCTTTGGGTTGACAGGACCTCTTCCATCTAGAAAAGAGAGAGAGAACACACAAGTATGAGAAAAAGAAAAGAAATTGCTTAGTTCTTATTCAGTTAACATGAAATGGTTACGCGATCATACTAGGGATGAGTCTTGGCCATGAGATGGAGAATCTATAGGCCTCCAAGCCTGTTTCCACCATGAGTTGGACGTCTTCCTGTAAGAGGCAAAAGCAGCAGTCACACACAGATCATATCTAGCAAGATGCAGTTGACGATAGTCCATAGTAACTCAGCACCACTACGTGAAGTACATCAACAAGACAAACTTATTATTGCCTTGTACAATGATAATACATAATAGGTTTAAGGGTATAAAGAACACAGAACATCGACTACCAGATGTATCATGTGCCAAATTTAATATTTGAATCAGACATTTAATCAGAACTTTCTCGTATGTTCTGTTTGGTTGGCAACAAGAAAAAGATATAAGTAGTGGATTCTACCGCCATTCCAACTCCATAGAATGTCGTAGGTACTAAAAACTCATTCAATTCTTCACATTCAAACAGCACATCTATTATGTCCATCTCAAACCACAAAAAGTATATGCTCCTCAGTGTACTATTATCAATTAAAGCGCATATGCTTCCATTCAAACAGCAATTCATTAGTAATACCCTGCTACACAAAATTTAAGGCCCATTTCATCAGAAGATCAAACCAAACAAATTGACATCTTGAGTAACAACACCTGACTCATATTGCCGTAGTTCAACGGTGCTCCAAAGAGGAAAGTATTAGCCATTCCATTTGATTAGCTATCCAACATTAACATAAACAAAAATGACTAATTGAATCACTTCATACACCTTGTATTTGTGGTACCCATCACATGCAATGTCTCCATTGGCTCCATGCACACGCCCTGAAATTTCAAGTTCCACCTCTTGATCAATCAGACTTCCAAACAAATAATAAAGAAATATAAATTTATCATAACAAATAGCGAATTTCACTCATTTGAATCAGTGGTTTCGATTTAAGGGATCCATGAAAGCAGCATTTTATGGATGCATATAAATACTGATTTTAAAGCCATGTACATGCATGCTTGTGGCAAAAATGTGCACATTAAATTATGTTCGGTAGCATGGAATTGCCTTAGAATTAGAATTCAAAAAAATATCAGTTCAAACTTCAAATTTCAAACTATTATTTTTTTTTTTTTTTCAGTTCCAATTCAAGGCACCAATCCATACTACCGAACAAAGCTGAACAATTAGGGTAAATAGTATTTTCTTGTCATCTCCAAATGAAAGATTAAGGAATCGAGTTCCCAACAAGACAAATGGGTGCAATTTATTTATCAGGAAAAGGAAAAAGATAATGGTGGAATAAATGTCATAGAAGACACTGACCAGCATGAGCAAAAGTATCCCAGATGCTAGGAGTTCTTCCATCTTCAAATGCTGCACCCTCATACTGGCATATATATAGTCGTATCAATTGATCAGAATCTGCTCTCTATATTATATATAGATATAGATATAGATATAGATATTATATTAATAAAATGAAAGTGAGGTGCTTGACCTGATAGGCAGATGAGCTTGCACCAAATACAAAGTGAGGTGGGAAGTCATTTCTGCTAAATTTGTCCTCCTCGGTGAAGATTAATGGAGGTGAATTTAGCAATAGAAGCAGCAAGAAAGAGAGAATCAACTTCTTGGTCATGGTGGCGTCTTCTTTCTCTCTTTCTTTCTTTATTTCTTTCTTATCCTTTGAATGTACATAACATGCGTCTCCAACTTTTTCGTTTATTTGTGTGAACCAAATTCAGTACTACTCGATCAGTCACTATTCTCGTGGACTTAAAATGTTGATTTGTATGATACGTACACTCTAAACTCATTCATAATTAAATTAATTAATGAGGATGGATCAAGTGCAAATGGAATAGATACCGCTCGATTCTCCATCATTGTCTTCAATTTCTTCTTGGATGAGCGGAGCCTATATACCATATAATAATGTTGAAAATTTTTCTAGTTTGCATTTATCTTTATTACATCAGTGGGGACCATATTTATTTATTTTTTGCATTGCATTGTTCCTACGTTGTTGAAACCGAACATTTGAGAGGGCCTCGTTGTCGAGTTTCTAAATTAGAATTCTCCGAGCAATAAATATGTGTAGGTTCTTATTAGTTTTGATGTTAGATCTTCATTCCAACTCAATCTCTTTGATATTAACTGCATTACTATTCATTTTAAATAAAGTTGGTTATGATTTGATTGAAATTTGGTTCAATAACTTTGAACATTTTTAAGTTGCATTATTCTTGCAAATCACACATATTTGTTTTTATGAAAATAGTGACCTTTCACGGGAGTCCTAAATAAGACATACAATTAAAGGTAAATACAAGATAAAGTATTTTTTATGGCGTAAATTATAACATAAATAAAAAATCTTTTTTTTTTTTATATTTATAAATTATTATTTGGAATACTTTGCAGAAAAAATTAGATAAACATATGATACCAAATGTGGTACCGTCACACGACTTAAATTAGCATGAACACATACTAATTATATCTGACAAGAATGCAAGCTCTCCTTGACTCGTTAAATAAAAAGATTTATTAACTTTTCAGAAATCTAATATACGACTCTAAGGTCTAAGCCATAAGTTTTGGAAATAAGAGATGATCATGGGGCATTGAATCCAGGGACGGACCTACGTTCATATTTTTTTTCTTTTTACAATATATACCCATAAAATATCCTACCTAAAGTAATATGTCCACCCCCTGATTGAATCAAATGGATGCTTGAGAGGGTTTTGAAAAAAATTTGTTTCTTAAATCGGGTGCAGACAGTGATGTGTGATAGTTGGCTAAAAATTAGGGTTTATTGGCTGGATGGTGTCATCCAGAGCTGCAGAAGAGTAAATTCATTCTCTCAAAATTTTCAAGTGTTTTTAAATCCTCCAGTATAATTGTTAACAATATTAAATTCACATTGAAAAAATGAACTAACCCACCAAGGGACCCAAATTTTTTTTTTTTTTTCCCTTCTTACCTCAACAAGCAAGAACACAGTACTTGTCCTTTTGACTTCTAAAAGACTACAACCACGATTTTTTTTTTTTTTATAAATACCTAATCTAAAAGTACAAACTATTGTAAAATAGTAAAATAACACAACATATTCTTTTTGTTCTTTTTTGAAAGAGGACAGAACATATGCAGTGCATTTGGAAGACAACAAATAGTGTCAAGCTCAGAAATTTAACATTCGGTGCATTTGGAAGACGATACGTTCTAATTCTACAAGGAATTCAAAAATTAGTCCAAATGATAGTACGAATCGACTCATTCCATCCACTCTTCAATCTAGATGATCTTATATTATAATAATAATAATAGATGTTCCGATTCTAACCCACAAAAGTAACTTAATTATCAGGCAAACTTCATCCTTGTACACAGCCTCTGACGTCCATGTATCAATCTCGATCATATCTCACCTGTCAAACATAATTGCAATTGGAGCACAGCAACATTTGAGATAGAACAGGATAGATATATACTAATAACAGTCCGAAAAGACAAGTAAGCAATATAAAACAAAAGAAGGAGAAATGAAAATATTGTGTACAGAAAAGTAACCTGGATATACTCTTGCTCCGGCTCCTGCTAAAGCTCTTGTTCCTGCTAGAACTGTGCTTTTTTGGGCTTTTACTTGCATGCTTCACTTGCTGAAAAAGGCAACATAAAGCACACAAAGGCAAGTTTGTATAATTATATAATTATACATTCAATTAGACCTATTTGATATTTATTGTTGATGATACAGTTGCAATTCAACCCACTAAAACTGCCCCAATTCTAGTTCGAAGTGCAAGAATGGGGGCAGTCACTGAAGAACCAAATTGCCAACAGTTCAGTTCATTCAGGTTCCAGAAAATTGTTTAAACCAATAAGAAATTCACTTACAGATGGTACTGGAGATCTGGATCTTGATGGAGATCTGCAAAAGTTCCAGAAACAACCCAATTTAAAATCCACACGTTCCTTTCAAGAACTTTGATTCAAGAGCCGTGATGCCTCTTCCACGTTAGAGTTACCACGATCAAAACGGGTAAAAGAAAACCAATAAATATTTTAGCAGCCCAACAGAGAGAAATACATGAACCAATACAATCCTTACTAAATATATGAACCTATAGTTAAAGATGAAAATCTTAATAAAAGCTTTATAATGCCATTCAAGACACCAGTGGACAGGATACCAAATAAAAACACCAGAAAATCCAGAGAGCATGTCCTCGTAGCTTGGCACTGTTACAAAAGCAATGGTAATTAACACCGCAAATTGAAGGTGGTTCCCATATTCCAATAGCACTTTGTTCACAGCCCAGCTTACCATCGCAATCCATGATCTTCTTTGTCCCCAATCTAGCACCCATGGACATTTGCGACGCTTAATGTACAAACACAGAACCACAAAGGTTTCCAAAGCTGCCCATCTAGAAAACACCATACCTCCACAACCAAAAGAGTTGCAGACATTTGAACCATATCCCATCAAGATCCTAATATGCAATCCCCAGATCGCTGCACATATCCATATCTAAAAAACAAACAAGGTAATTTCATATATAAAGAGGACAGATCAAAAATTGTGACAATCCTGAACGTTTTCTCAGCAGGACATCTGCTAACAGATAAATCATGGATTGAAGCAAGGGGCAAAACAGTAGGGCAATACAAGAACAAGAGTTATATAAGGACACACTTGTTAGTTTAAGCTCGCCCACCCTATGCAAAAGAGCAGGACAATAAAAGAACTAGAATTATATCAAGACACTTTTAGTTTAAGCTCACCCACCCTATGCCCTTGTAAAATAGATGCAAGGAGAATGTTTTCACCACTTCCTCATTTAATTAACCCAAAACAGAACTTGCAATAATAACTTGAGAGTTCAAAATTTATACATCATTACTAAGAGCAATACAGTATGCAGATTGCTCTACCGTCGTCGCTAAAGAATTTGTTAGGCGGAGATATTCTCAATTGCTTGCAAACTCAGAAAATAAGTAATGATGTAAAATAAGGTCAAGCCAATGACACCATAATTTCAAAAAATGCACCAGAATGTTACACAGAAGGTGAAATAAATATCTGGAAAAACCTTTAACCAATCAAAAGTCAAGAAAAGCAGATACATATAACCCAAGCTTCCAAATTCTATACACATGCAAGGTTCAAAGCCCAAGAGGCATTTTCTTTCCTTTATCACTTTGCATAATTGGTTGATAGTGTATGCTACAGCAATAACAAGTTATAGTGTTTCCTTAAAGTACTGTGTAGGATATATAATTAGTGCATGTTATTATCATGTGTGATTTACAAAAACCTTGAACATTAAACCTTGAGTAATAAGTAAAGGCGCACCATTGCGTAGTGTAGCCCAAGCTTGATTGATATCAAGGAATGGTAGGATTAGCCTTACACCATGGAGGCAATTGAACCTATTTCTTATGTACAATAGCCAAATGGTGACATTCATTAAAATGAGCCCCATGAGATACTTCATGAGCTTGCGAGATTTAATATTATCATGTCATAATGGTCACCCATTGCGAGATTTTCATCAAAGAGGTTCCAGAAGACATGAAGAGAAATTCACGTGCAAGCCTGTCAGGAGCTGCTTCCTAACCCACTAACCCATTTGTGAGGCAGCCCCTCACCAAATTGCAGATCGACAGATAGCTCTTAACAATCAAGCAATAACAATAAACAATGACGAAAGAAGGTATACCTTGACAAAGAGCGCGGCCTCGACCCGGAGCGGGAACGAGAGGCAGACCTTGAACGATTTCTAGCAGGTGAACGGCGCAAAGATTTGGCTTTTGGAGACTTGCTGCATGATAATTCACAAAATTAACAATCAACCACCACCCAGAATGCATGTCAGGGTAAATGTTACAATACAGCTTAATTCAACCTCCTGCTCCTGCTTCGACTATAGCTTCGACTGCGACTGCGACTATAGCTCCTGCCTCTTGAATAGGAACTACTACGACTGCGACTCCTTGAATAGCTCCGACTTCGGCTTGAATCATACTCCTTCACCTATAGGCATAGTGATGTTAAATGGAATGCAGATACAATATGCAAGAACATTTAAAAGAATATATATCATATTAATACTAAAAACAGTGTCCAACTCATACACGAATTCTAGCCCGGCCAAAAGCATTCCGAAATTCAGAAGCATCAAGTTTCCTGATCTGTAAACAGGAAAATGAATTCTTGCTTATGCATATATCAAGTTAATGGTAGGAACCTAAAATCATGGTGAAAAACATCTGAAAAAGCCAAATCACTCAGGTAAAGTACTGAAAATGAAGAATAACATACTGCATATTTCATGTCATCATAGTTTGTGTAGTCCACAATCCCCGTCATGCCTGCAAGATGGCGAAAGTACAGACAACATAAGAAGCTAGTCTCACAAGATAAAATTGATAATTCGCATTTACAGTTATGTAATTCCAAACGCAAGGATTTACATAACAAAATAATTGACATCAAATGAAGCCAGGACATTTTGAATACCAGATAAATTAAAGAATAACCTGAAGAGAACTCCTAAAATGCATCATACACATAATATTATTGAACCTAACGGTAGCTTAATCAAAATTAACAGCAAAAAGCGCAACAAAAAAATTCCTGAATTACATATACGGTATACCAAGCAGAAAACAATCAGGTATCTTCTTCTTTTTTTTGGATAAGTACAAAACAATCGAAGTACCTTGAAAACTTCAATTACCAAAATTTCTTCAAATGTTTAATTTGAATGAAGGAATGAATAATTCCTTCCAGTGTACACATATATCTTGACAATGTATATAACACGGGGTTTATTTGGAACAATTTGCTCTCTTGTAATTTTTTATTAATTTAATGTAAAATAGAGGATATAAAGTCATTCTTGTCCAGTTGAGAGACTTATAAGAATGCACACATGAACTGCAGGAGAATTCTACATGTTTAGCACGTGTGGCATGTCCAGTTATGAATAGAATAAAATATGGATGACACCAATTAGTCAAAGATTGTGGAACTGAGCTTTTCAAATTTATAAGGCCAGCAGAACTTAGACAACCGTGCCAATTTATTCATTCTACGTGTTACTGGCCATTCCACGGGAAGGGAGTAGTTTGATTAGTCACTGGCTTTACAATCATTTACTGCAGGAAAAAGCCTAGGGGCAGCGTCCAAGGCAACCCAGACCCCCCCACCTAAACTAAGGGACCAAAAACGTAACACCCATAAGTCATACAGAACCGAATCCATCAGGCAACCTTCCAAGCAAGTGGAAATCAAGGAGAATATATAATTTTCTGTCACCAGAGCTTTACATTAGATATGCATTTATAATTGAGGACTTCTTATTTTTCAATATAACACAATCATAAGCCACGATAGTGAAACAGAACAGTTGAAACCGAACCACAAAAAGGTCAAGTTCAATTCACTTCATCCTGGAATGTTCTTCAAAATCTCCCCAACACGATTTAGATCATATTTATTCCAATTTGATAGTAACAATCAAGCAGAAAGAGAATCAACTTAACGTATACATTTGCATGTACCATGCATAAATCATATCAACGCATAATTACAAATGAACATAAGCTCACCCAACATACAATCAACGAGAGGTTTAAGTAAGAAAAAATTAAAAGGAAGGAAATTAAGGGCAATGATTTCAAGCATTCAAGGTGAGGCCTATTTGGAACCTCGCATTATTGAATTCTGAATCATATTTAATTTAACTTCACGTTTTCTTAAGTCAACAAGCTGTTAAACTAGTTTTGTTTATGTTTAATCAGTTTGAGAATCAAAATATTTTGGTATTTTTAAGGTCTTTATTTGTGGATTGAAGTAGGTTTATGTAGGTGTTACTAGGCAAAAACTCTAAATTCCAAAACTGGTCCAATATATTGCTGATAAATAAAAATAAAATAAAAAATCCAATATATTATATATATAATTAAGATTAAGTGAAATCTATATAATTAATTGAATAAAGCCATAAATACCATTTTCAATTCAACATAGAACACGTTTCAGATTTATTTTTTTTGAGTAATTATGCTCTCTAAGGCTGCAAGACACAATTCCGAGGTGGCTATTGGTGTCATAGCTAGGAATTTTAGGAGCAACTCCCTGAGGTGTTTCTTCTTCTTTTTCTGAGCTCTTCTTCATTTCTTTCCTTATATGCACATTCATACTTGCCATCAGACATTAATGATCACTTCCTCTACAATTAAAAAAACCATAGTTTTGAGAAAATCCAATCCATTCCTCCATCAAGGACTGAACTTCAATCATCCAAAAATTAATCGTGTTCAGCCTTTGAACTTTGCCTTTCTTGCTTGATTATAAACCCAAAACCTTATCCCTTCTCACACCTTTAAAAATCCTAAAACCAAATCAATGCTACATGGACTTGGCCACTATGGTAGGTGTATTAGGTGCAGGTATGTGCCTAAGCACCGAATTTATCAAATCACCAAACTTATAAACCCAGAGACGGCTAAATATTCATGATATTTACTGGTTTTCATATAAGATAGTTTTGAGCACAATTATATGGTAAAAGTGATCTATTGTAGATGCATGTCAAACCAAATTTTTGGGAAGCACATCTCACACCCATGTCCACCATGGGTACATCATGCATTTTTGAAGACTCAATGTAACATAGAATTCCATATTCCAATACTTTTACCACCACAAATTATTTTAACCACATCAAATTCTCTCTTGTAGCAATACACTATCAATATTGGTATCACATCTTAGGTGAGCTTTCCTACACTACAGGGTGCATGTCACACAACCTGAGAAAATGCTAAGATACTATAAGAAAATTATACATCATGTTTAAGTTCCAAGCCAAGACTGGTCGTAACGCCAAACAAATGCAAGCAAATCTGTGCCATGTTTTTTATTTTAGAATCGATAACCCAATCAATAGTAACTTAACTTAGGGCTCTCTTCTCTTCAACGTAATTTTGTATCCGAGAAATTTCAGAGTCCAAAAATAATCTTCAAAGACATCCATACAGAAAGAAGCTATATCATGTAGTAAAGTCATAATAAAGAACCATAGGGCCCTGAAAAAGGAAAATGAAGCACAAAGCTTGAAGTTAAACAGCACACTGACTGTAATTCAACCAATGAGATAAGGCTTTTATACATGCATTACTAACACAATAACACAGCTTGTAAATTTTTCTTTTACAACTTACCCCTCCCACAATGAAAAAGCAAGATAAGGAATAAGGAATAAATCATGTGATAGAGCATACTACCTATTGTCAACATATGAATTAACAACATAAGAATCTAATCTGTCATCATCTTACCACTTCCCTCACGAAAAACTTCAGAGAAACAGACATCACCAGCTCGACGCATGTGATCCTGAATAAAAAAGCATGATTGATTAAATTAAAACATTTTGTGTATGTTATGTAATATGGAATTATCCATGAAGTTCCTGCTCACCTTAAGGTCTTGCCATGAAGCTGAAGAAGGCAATCCAGAGACTATCACTGAAAGACAGAAACAGATGATATCAAAATACATATAAATCAAATGAAGCATTACAATTGATATAGAATGCAAGTATCTTGAGAAATACAAACCACGATATTCAGACCGCCTGGACAACCCACCACGGCCACCTCGACCACTACTATAACTACTACTGTAACGATCTACTGATGATGAGTTTCGACGCCCACCATGTGCAAGCTCCACCTATACAAAAATATGAGTACAATAAATAATAGAGTTCCAGTACAGACAGGTAAAAGATGTTATGTGTCCGCCTCATACATGCAACCTACCCGTAATCTGTGCCCATCAAAATCATAGCCGTCACGGCCACGAATAGCATCTTCAGCATCAGGAGCCTCTTCAAACTGTACAAAAACTTAGACACATATTAGATAGAATAATAAACAACAAACATTGTAAGCATCTCTAGACTTACCTCAACAAATGCATAGCCAGGGGGCCTAGGAGGGATTTTCAAATCAATATGAGCTATCGGTCCGTACTGCAATGTGCACAACAGTCAAATACAAAATAAAAAGATCAAAAATTTCAAAATTAATGTAAACTATAAAATCAAATCCAACACGTTCAGAATGAAAAGTAATCATGTTTGTGGCAAAAGTGGACAAGAAATATAACCCATTCAAGAAAGTAAACTTTTCACGGCATTGATTAATACATATATATACACTTATCTACACTGGCAAAAAAAGTAATTCCTGATTCCACATGGCAATATTTACAAATTAAAGTTAATCTAGCCTGAATTTCCTTAATTGCGTACCCTTAAGCTAAAAACAAGTTTTTCACAAAAAAATAAATATAGCCATACATTGATATATATGTTTTATTAAAGAGATACGGACTACGAACAAAATTGAAATTACCTTGTAAAACAGATCCTCTACTTCCCGCTCACGGACATCACCAGGAAGGTTGCCAACATAGAGAGTTCTACTTGAGCGGCTCATTGTTCTTGTGACAATCAATATCAACAGTGTGAACAAACAGAACAATAACAATTTGAAAGTAAAATGTAAAACATCAAAAGCAAAATTAAAAAAATAAATAAATAAAAATAAAAATAAGAAAGGAACCCTAAGATATGAATAATCTGCCACTGCAGTGGATTGACTAAAACATCACAATTTATTTTCCCTAAAATAGAGAACTAAAAAAGCAGTAATTTGCGATTGGAAAAAGCTTACGAACATATGTTAAGATTGGAGAAAAGAGTCAAAAGACTGAAAGTGACTCCACTTTTTTCAGACCTTCTGTACAAATTTATACTATAATAATGTTTAAACATATACATGATACATAGAGACACGCATCTAACCTGCGAGTAGTTGAAGATCGCGAAATGAGACGTAGAGAACTCGGAAGGTTAGGGTTTCGAGAGGCGCGGGGAACCGGAAGTACAATAATAAAGGTGATTATATTGTGTTATGTAACGTAGGTTATTACGTTGTACTCTGTTAATTTGGATGGAACGTGTGTATCCTGTTTTTACTTCATTGTTATTGATCATTTCTCCCAATTTTTATTTTTACAGTAATACCAAATTATACTTAATATATTTTTTTTCATAAAATAAATTGTAAATTAAAAATATATTATTTTAATAACATATTCTTCATCAAATTTCCATAAATTTACCTTTAGTTCTTTAAATTAATTATTTTAATAAAAACATTACATAGGAGGAGAAAATTTTAAACAAAAAACTTTAAATAATTTCTTAATTTTTCATGAATATACAGCATGAAAAAATTGTATTTTTTATTGAAGTAATTTCTTTTTTATTAATATATTGTATGAAAAAAAAGTATATTTTATCCGGGCAAAGAAGTTTAGACTAATTATAATAAATTTTATTTTAAATAGTAAGGTATTAATAATAAGTTAATCATTTTATAAAATGGATAAATTTGGTAGAAGTTAAACTCTTTTTTTTTTTTTCATTGTTATGATAAATTGATACAAGTAATAAAATTAGGTAAATGGAATAATTAGTATTTAGATAAGGAAAGGACAATAAAGATAGTTTAATAAGAAATAAAAAAATAAATGGGTAAAATTGTCTTTTGTGTTGGTATATCATTAGTTATATTTGCAATAGTTCAGGTTTTTTTCTCTTTTTTTCTTTTTCTTTTTTTTTGTTTTTTCTAATTTACACGACACAATCAAAACAATCGAATTAAAAAAGTAAATTTTTTTTTTTTGTTATTTTACACAAATAATATTTCTCTTGTTCGAACCTAGTGTTGTACTCTTTAAAGTCAAAAAATATATATATATTATTATTAGAACAGATAACACATCCGTCTACACGTCAAGACAAGATTACATGGCATCTTTCACTTTTTTCTTTTTCTTTTTTAGAAAAAAAAAAATTTCTGAATACAAACTATCAATAAAAAATTTCCAATGAAGTGTCTTGTTCTAAGGTGAATCAATTGCAAGCAGTCAAACCCACTTCAGGTCTAGAATTGTAAAAGAAAAGAGAGCATACAGCCATAGGCAGCATACTTACTTGTTCAAGTCGGTCAAGGATCACCTCTAGTTATGCAGTAATTTATTTCTCCTCACATTTTCGTAAGGAACATTCCAACATTTTTTACTATACATTCCAATATTTTCTTACTATGTATCCCAACTATGGTGACGTGCCCATATCTGGAACACTCATTTCAAAATGGAGTAAATGGCACACTATTTCTATTTCACTTGAGGTGATTTTCACCCTGTTCAGGTTGCTCCCTTTGTTTTCAAATTAAAATCTTAAATATGGAGGTAAGGTGCTAGACAACAAAATGTGAAGCTTAAACATTTAGATTAATTACCTTTGAAAGAAAAAAAAAAAAAAAACAGATGACTGGGACGCATTACAAGCTGAGTTTACTTGAATCACTGTAATTAACAACGGAACCCAAAATCATTAATACTACAAGTTCCTTGGATACCCCAACATATTTGATATCATTTTCACACACAAGTTTTGTTCCAACAGAAGGAAATTGCAGTCTACTTTCATAGAATTACCAGAAAACTATCATCAATTAAATGAGTTTTCAGATTGTATGGTAAATTGAACCAACAAGAATCTTATGGCAAAATAACAACGCCATGCGGCCAATGCGCATGCCTCCGAACATGCATCCATATTGGATGCAGCTAACTAAATGAGGGTGACGTTTAACATGATCATTTACCAGAGTTTCATGGCAAAATAAACAAATAAAATTCATGCCCAAATCAAATTATGTGAAAAGCAATCCGAGAAATAGCAAAAAAGGAATGGAAAGGTGTAGGAATAATCAAAACCCTGTCAATGACAGTAAATAATAATTCTGTCCAATGCAAGGAAAAATCATTTGGCTCTGCCATTTTGCACAAAACAACGGAACTCATTCGGGAAAAGATGCAAAAACAGGGTCGTGTACAAAAACTTAACATGCCAGAACAAACTGAATACAGCCAAATAAATGTGTTCTTTATTCTCAAGAGTTCAAGACAAGATCAATTGACTCCGTCAATGAGTTTTTCCTCCAGCATCTCCGCCTTCCTTGGTCTTCCGTGCAGCAGCTCTCAGTTGGCGCTGTTCCTCCTTGTAAACTCGATTCCTTCGTTGAAACTGCAATAAAAATCCATATTTATGTACTGAGAATCAACAAAACAAGCAGGTACCAACCAGCAACAAAGATGACAAGAAAAACTGCATTCACTTGAATTTCGGTCACATCATTACCGGATTCAGTATAAACTAACTTCTTCTGGAAGATTATGAGCACATTCTCAACCAAAAAAATTAGAATGAGGTGCCATGACAAGAACATAGAGTGAAGCAACATCCTAGGCTAAATATTTTTAGAATCATTCCAAAATGTTACATTGTCAAACCCCTTTATCAGCCATAGTTGCCTACCAGGAAAACACCTGAAAGGCATCCAAACTGATTAAAGAAAAAAAGAACAGAGTACAGAACATACCAAAAAATAAAAATAAATAATAATTGTGATAAATAAATCACTAAATAAGTACATTATTAGGCAGATCAGAAAAGGCATCTACTCGAACCTTATCACTCTTACAACTTTTATATTTTGGAAAATGCCACCATCTGTTGCAACCTTACAAAATAAATAAATAAAAAACAATGGACATCTCAAGAACTTCTGTTTCCCATAGTATGGAAATTATTTGATAAGGCAGATGCATGCACCCATGGCCCTTCACCTTAGCTTCTAGAGTGACAGATTGACAGGGGATACCACTCAAGGTCAACAAATATGCCCCTATAGGTGAATGATAATGTGGCCGCATGTGGACATCTTCCTTATTCTTCTCTCTTCACCCTTCTATCCCCTTTCACCGTGTGCAAGGCCCAGGAGAATTCCCACCCCGCATCTCAGTATGATTGCCACCCTACACACCTCTCATACTGGAACCAACTCACTCCTTACCAATTAATTTTTAAGATCCATGCCTTGACTAAGTTGTGCTATAACGGATTTAGCGGGTTACAACCCCTACTTGTAAATAATGGACTGCAACTTTTTACTTGCATTTTAGCAAATGAAATGGTTGAATGAGTTTTTATTGTCAATCACCCATAATTAGGCTATTTACATCCTTATTCTCTAATATTTCTTACATCAGGCGGTTATTGCTGTAGTTAAAAATATTAAATTATTCAAAAAAATTAAAAAAATCCTAATGTGTGTGTAAAGGTCAAGAATGAGTTGCAACTAAAGATGCATATCTAATATCAGTGGAAGAGACCAAGAGTTGTAACCTAACAGTACTTCCTCTCCTTTTAAAGTAGAAGGTCAAGGTTTAAGTCCCTATAGGTTTAAGTCCCATTGATATATATACATACATATATATATATATATGTGATGAGATAGTTGTGGATAATGTGTCTTCTAACATCAAGCTGCCCTGAATCTAATTTTTGTACATAACATTGAAAATGGAATTAACAAATAAATTGAGTTGACAATGACAATGGGTCCACCTTTTCTCACAATATAGACAGTCGTGACCTCTTTTCAGTGTCATCGCATTTCACTTCCTAAGAATCCCCAACATATTTTCATTTTCTTCCTTCATCAAATTTACAGAATTTGAATTAAGGCAGAAGTGCAACTGACTCGTTACATAGAAACCAAATGATCAGCATCTTCCTCCCACTAAATAAATTGTAGTTATTAACAGTTCAGCACACATTTCCCCGTTGCCCATCAAATTCTTTACAAATTTAAATAAGAAAAAGAGTGACATAATGAAAGAAGTGCATAACATTTCACCCCTATAGTTATTGTGATGTAAAATAGTGTAATGCCATGCCACTAAATCTGGTAGCCAATTTCTAATTCTATTACGCCAGGGCAACTGGACTCATTGTTTAAGCCAATCAACTCCATCTGCCCTAAGACGCAAAATTATGTCCATTCCAGTGTAAGACTTGAATTTATTTATACTAGAAAGACTACAGATGCCATGTACATGCTCATTGTCTCGTGTTATCCTTGGCTACGCTTTCTTATCCTTAAATTTCAAAAGGGGATATTGAAAGGGGATAGATTTGATAGCTGTAATTATATCTAACTGTATTTATCCATTCTTATTAGGATAAATACTTTATGGCTGATGTGGCTTCTTTACTTTTTGTTAAGGCAGTATTGCTTCTATTTGGAAACAGACAAATTATATTTCTATCCACAGTATAACTCTTGTTAGTAGTATGACATGCAATAAATAAGGTTTAGAAAAATTTTGGAAGTTAAATGTGATAACACTTCAATAGGGTTTTTCCTTATGGTAACAGTATGGAGAGATTTTTTATTTTTATTTTTTCATTTTTGTGTTAATTTCTAAGATATTTTATGTGATCATTTTTTGCCTCTCTGAGCATTGATTATTTTAACTAAGACCAAGTCCTAACCTGAAAGTAAACCATTCACGGCAAAAGAAATCCCAACCTTAGTTTTCTATTTATTATTACTTTTTTATTTTAACTGTAGAGATGGATCAAGTCCCATTCTTGAACCCCTTAACCTGGCGAATGATACACAGTGTGTGTGACATTACATCACTTAACATGGCAAATTAACAAATACAACCTGGATCGAATTTAGAAATTATCCCAAAACATTAAACCCTAAATCGCCTGGTTCAAATCGAATAATTGGCACAGCAGTAAAGATAGAATGATATTGGTGGTTATAGATGAAGATGAATAAAGAAAATTCGAATCTAGATGTTAAAAAAATTGAGAATAAAAAAGAAAGACCTCTTTGGAGTGGTGGAGGCATTCGAGATAGTCTTCTCGGAGAAGAACGCAGTCTTTGGGCTCCCTGCAACGCGACATACACTCGCTAAAGTCGATCCAAAAATCGTAGCACCTTCCTTTGTTGCCTGTTATCCCCCAACCTGATGCCATCTCTCTCTCCAACAATCACTCTGGTATTGCTGGGCAGAATTTTGTTGGTCCTTGTTGGACGTGTCTAGAGTACAGTACAAAATGCCCGGTTAGGTTATCTCAAATTTAAATAATTTTTTTTTTTATACTCAGGACATATAATTTTGTTTACGGAGTGAGTCGGACTGGACTATTACACACACTCATTAGTCTTCAAATTGAAGAATTTTACTTATTTGGTAAATTTTAAAAATATAAAGAGTGTTTTTTTTAACATCAAAAAATATTTGAACATTTATATATAGCAGTTACCATATATCCCTCTTTAAAATAATAATAATAATAATTGCCATATATCCCTCTTTAAAATAATAATAATAATAATTGTTCACGTTTTCATTTTTGGTTGTTCCAAAATAAATATCACATAAAAAATATTAAATTTCATCTTTTAAATTAAATTTTTAAAAAGGCCTGTTTAATTTTGGAACGTAGGATGCTTTATATTTCTACTCTACGACTATCTGTTTGTTATATTTTAAAGGTTGTAGTGCACAATATACATGTAGGTGTTTTGATAAATTAAGGTGGATGTGGTAAACTAATCAATAATTTCTTATTATGTTGGTCATGAACCAGCTCAATTGAGGATTTGAGAAGTTATTGAAGTATGAACTAATTTAGTATAAGCACAAGTCGCCAAAAGGCACGCCATTTTTAGTGAACTTAATTTTTTAAATGCTCGTCGCATTTTTCACACCAAACCGCCAATCAACTATTTATTACAAATATATTTTTACACTTGCACTGACATTATATGGACATTTTAATAAATTTTTCCAAAATAAAGTGAATTAATATGCAATTAATCTATTATAATTCCTAAATTAGTATGGACATTTTGATGACCCCCTCCCCCTCCAAAAAAAGAAAACTGAATTAATATGCAATTAATCTATTATAATTCTTGAATTAGTATGTACATTTTGATCCCCTCCAAAAAAGAAAACTGAATTAATATGCAATTAATCTATTATAATTCTTGAATTTGTAATTTTGTAACCCCCAAAAAGAAAAGCAAGAAATATATTTATTTACGTACCCTTTTTGCCCACACTTCGCTCCCTCCTTAAGAATGACATGTTACACCAGTATATTAGATGCGAATTATTAGTTCAAACTTCGAGTTAGTAACATGAAATATTTTTTTTATAAAATTAGTAACATGAAATATTTTTTTTAAAAGAAATGAACTATTTTCTGTAAAATATTACTCCGTATTACTATACTATTGGATGGAAGGGTATTTATAAACTCTTGACTTTAAAAAAGAAGTGGGGTTGAAAGTGATAGTTTTTTTTTTTTCTTTCCGAAAGGTAAAATTTTGTGCAGTATATATATGAGAAAATTTACAAAGGGCCACGTTTAGGGTCAAAGTTCAAGCCGACAGCTGAGCCCAAACAGAGGCAAACCCATTCGGCTTAATCAATACATAACGAACCAAAACATGGCCGAAGCAGGTCCATTCATTTCAGTTAAGCAAAGACATTTGTACTTTACGAACCTATGCTACATCTTAGTGTGCAGGAATAAAATAAAATAATCATTTTAACTATTTTTTTTGTTTAATATGTAATTTAAAATAGGAATGATCCTTTTATTAGAATAAAATTTTACTTTTTATAATAAAAATTCATTCAAAAACTAAACCAGTGGAATAGTCATTCCATTCTCAAATAATTTTTTTTAAAAAAATAACTTTTCTAAAAGAAAAATGATAGACCTTCCGACATTAATTGTCGACTATTCTTACGAATACAACGTGGTTGGATTCTATTAAAACTCTTAAAAAAATTCCCGTAAACATCTCTTTCTCTTCAACTCATTCCCAACCACGTTATATTCGGAGGAGTATTCGACAATTGAAGTCGGAAGATATATCACTTCTCTTTCCAAAAAACCCTCATGTTCTAAGTTTTAAAACCACCACAACCACATTCGTCTTTCGCCACTACCACTATTACCACCGCCTTCTACCGTGATCGATTGGTCAATCATACATCAACCTTCGCAATAGCACGAATCATTGTAAAATAGGGCTATTGGTCGGGTAAGTTGAACCACTGGGACTGCGCTAGTTTAAGGCAACCTAAATGTCTAGAATCATTCTTAGAATGATAAGGGGTAATAAGGGTTTGTTTGTTTGTCACTAAACTAGAAATGTAAAGATGCATAAACTAGTAGATTGCAAGAAATGTAAAGAAGTGAGATACAAGTAGAAAAGACTAGGGAGATGAATCCACTACCTACTCTATTAACATGCTAGTATGTGGTTAACTTGGGAAACAAATTAGATATATGGCAATGATATATAGCAATACAAAATTACTACACTATCTCCAAGAATTTCATAGAATCAAGATTTAAGCATAATCCCTCAAAGTTATACATGCTTGACTACCTAAATGAAATTGTAGCTTCACATATTCACTAAGCTAGGGACTATCAAACCCCTCAATAACTATGGTGATAGCACATGGAGCTAAGAATCAAGAATAAATCCATCAAAGGGGGACCCTAAGCTATGGATTAACAAGATTCTCAAATACATACCAATAAAAACAGTTTCACAATCTTGTTTCCATTGTCACTATGGAAATGAAAGCAATACAACCATGAGGACATACATTCTAAGAGAAGATAATATATTCAACATGATCATTTAGAAGAATTTATATTCATTACATCAAATACAAGCTCTAGACCATGAAAGTGCCATATATATACATATTTCCCAAGATTAAACAAAAACTAAGACATGCTTACAAAGTAGGGTTTCATCACCTCCCTAGATAGGGAGTTAGTTACCCATTGCCAAGCTAGAAGAAGGAAGAAGCTCCATCTTCATGGCCATTTTCGTGCAACCTTCTTGGAGCTTGAAGAACCCCTCCTTTTTTTGCTCTCTTCTCTTTCCTCTATCTTGCAAAAATGTAGCTTTGATATGTGTGGCCTTCCTTGCCTTATCTCCTTCAACAAAGCTCTCTCTCTCCTCCAAAAACATCTCCAACCATCTCATAAAGAAGTAAGTAGAAAATGAGGAAACCAATGCACAAGTGGCTGCCAAAATGAGAATTCCCGAAGGCAATTCTGCCCCAAATTCGAGCACTCTAAGCAAGGCCTCGAGCACTCGAAAATGGAGCAGATTGCTCCATGCTTGCTTTGATTCGCCCGGACCTACTTTGGTAAAATAGTCATAACTTTGCTCTCCGAACTCCGAATGACAAACCGTTTGAAGATTTGGAAATCTGATTTAGAGCTCTAAAAACTTTATGTTTTGGTGGAGATCTAATTCTCAAGTTTGATTGGTCGAAATTGAAGAGAAAGGCAGAAATTCATTGCTGCTAGGCAGTTCTGAGCACCTCTAATAAGAAGATCATAACTCTCTGCTCCGAACTCCGAATGATGAACCGCTTGAAGATTTGGAAAGCTGATTCAGAGCTCTAAATCTTTAATGTTATGAGGGAAGTCCAGTTCTTGAGTTTGCTAGGTCAAAAATGGCGACAAAAGTCAGGTTCCACTGCTGCCAAGCTTCAGCATTGTGCCTCTCTAATCCAAAATTTCAACAAAACATCATTCTTGCTTCTTTTAAGCCAATGAACCTGAAAAAAAACAAAAATGCACAAATGAAGATAATCTACATAGCAAAATCAAATAATGGACTTAACTAATGCAATTTAGGGCGCTTGAATATATAATATTCGGCGCTTATCACACCCCCAAACTTACATTTTGCTAGTCCCTTAGAAAAACAAAAATGAAAAACTTGATGGAATGAAAAAAAATGGGAATGCTAAAACAAAAATATCAACCATGGCGAAAATAAATATATACATATCTCAAATACAACTTGAAACAAACAAAGAGCTGGAGACGGGGTCATTGGGAAAACTACCATGCATATATGAAACATTGATACAAAAATTGACAAAAACCATTTCAACATGCATGCATCAACATCATCGTCCATATAAATAACTCAATTGTCATCTCTTAAATGGAAATCAACTCTACTTCAGTGAAAGTGAATTGGATTTTCAACATGCGGCTTTTACTTTCTTTTCCAATTCCAAGGCACAAGTTTTCAAATCATTGAATTCCCCTTTAAATGAAATCCCTAAGGCATGATTTTATTTACAAGACAACTTTTGTTACCTGCTAACAATTTATTAAAGCTCAAAAATGAAACATAGAATGGTTGTGCAGTGCTGAAATCCATTAAGCTTTCTAACCAACCTATGTAGCAAGCGTTAGGCCAACAACTCCCAAACTAGATGACTTTAGGGTGTTAAGTGTAGAGACACTCCATAGGGCTTAATAGCTCAAGTTGGAAAGGCTACGAACTCCAACGAACCATGTTTATTACAATTTTTTTTGAATGACCGTGCAATGTTTAAGTCCTTTAAGCTTTCTAACCAACCCCTGTAGCAAGCGTTAGGCCAACAGCTCCCAAACCAGATGGCTTTCGGGTGTTAAGTGTAGAGACACTCCAAAGGCTTAATAGCTCGAGTTGGAAAGGTTACGGACGTCAACTGGTCATTATTTTCTTTCCTTCTCATTTTTTTTTTTTTTTAAGACAACTTAAATCATGCCAAAGATATTCATCTATTAGGTTCATCAAATCAGATTAACTAGGCCAAGGTCAAGGTCGATTAAGTTGCATGCCTCAAAGTTAAGTTTCCAATGTGCATCTGTGCATTGTGAAGCTTAAAAGAGTGTAAAGTCCAGCAAGAATCTAACTGAGACATTTATACAGATTACTTTGAATCCACATGATCATTTCAACTCAATTTTTTTTTTTTTTTATTTTCAAAAATGTCAATTGCTTCTATACACAAGGTATTAACCATATGTTTCGTCTCCGACAAGTGTCAAGTTATACTATCATTGCTTAGCAAAAATTATGAAACCAAAAATGCATATATGCACCCCTAAACTTGAATGTCACATTGTCCTCAATGTGAGAAGACAAGTAAATGAAAATAAGAGCAAAGAAGGTAAAAGAACAATATTACCAAGTGGAGTGACGAATGCAAAAATATCCATCGATGTGAATGCGC